GCGATTTATGGGAAAGGAGAAGGGAAATCCTGGTGGTGTCGTACCTCTGGGCCTGCCCGATAGGCCTCCATCTGTGACACTGATGACACCTGGAATGTGCTACCTTCCACTTGGGGCATCGGTTGAGTCAGAAAAGTTCAGGCAAACGGCAGGAGGCCACAGGAGCCCAAGAAAAAGCAAACACATTAAACTCTGGAATCAGATGGTCCAGAGGCAGCAGAGAAGAACCTAAGGGGCTCTAAAAGGACACACAATGACACAGAGGTGGGAAAACCATCCCCTGTTCCTCCTGAGCCCCCTTGTAGCCTGGGGCAGATCAAGGAACATCACTCTCCCCAGCTCCAAAGTCCTCAGATTTGGGAGAGGCGAGGCAAGCAGGAGTTGGCATTTCCATCCCAAACTGTGGGTCTGCCTCAGGGCTGTGAGTACAGTGTGCCTCTGGTCCCACCCACCTGTGGGTCACAATGACACCTGCACGTCAAATCGGACACTCCCCCAGGGCCATACAGGGACAGGAATGACCCAGATCCCGAGGGCATCTTCTGTTCCTCAGGCGGGCCATGGAAATCACTCTCGGGGCTTTGGTCCTGATTTTTTCTTCCTGGAGTAAGAGGCCCCGAATATGCACATGGCAATCTCCTCCTCTCGCTTGCATCTTTGCTCAACGTTTATGGCTTTAGAAAGGTCTTTTCTAACCATTCTAGATGGTTAAAATGCCACTCTGCCCTCACTCTGCCTGCCACTCTGTTTTTTGACCCTGCTTTAGTATCTCCTTGCCCTCCAGAACTGCCTGACACTGAAGTTTCAGCCTACTTTTACCTCCCGCACGGGTGCAGGAGACCCATGGAAGTAGGTAGAGCTTTGCCTCTCTTATTTACGCCAGGTCCCCAGCACCTAGCGTCGTGCCTGGGAAGTAGGCACTCAGCCAACAGTAAAGTTACTTATGAATCGATAAGTCAAGAAACTAGGGCACAAATGAGTAAACCTAGCTAGACTTAAGATCAAAACCCATGAGTGTCAATGAGGGGTCACAGTGTGGTTTTCCTCAGTGTGGATTTCTAAGACATTTATGATGCTGAAACAAATAGAACAATGTTTTAGATAATTCTTCCATTTATTATTAATAATTTTGCTCTTGGATATGCTTTTATTTTGAAATTGACTTTGAGAATTGCACACTAGTTCTAAAGACACATTTCATAATAATGCCTTCTTTGTCTTTTAGAGTACATTAGGGTTTACAAAGTGGTCACTTTCATTATCTTCTTCCATTAGAGTTGTGACAAGGAGTGGTTAAAAGAAAATGGACTTGGGGTGCCTGGGTGGCTCAGTCAGTTAACTATCAGACTTCAGCTCGTGGTCCATGAGTTCAACCGTGCATCGGGCTCTGTGCTTACAGCTTGGAGACTGGAGCCTGCTGCAGATTCTGTGTCTCCCTCTGTCTCTGACCCTCCCCTCCTTGCACTCTGTCTCTCTCCCTCTCAAAAATAAATAAACATAAAAAAATTTTTTAAAAAGAAAAAATAGACTTTGGGGTGCCTGGATGACTCAGTGGGTTGAGCGTCTGACTTCAGCTCAGGTCATGATCTCACAGTTTGTGAGTTTCAGCCCCACAACAGGCTCTCTGCTGTCAGTGCTTAGCCTGCTTCAGATACTCTGTCTCTCTCTCTCCCTGCCCCTCCCCCACTCATGTTTTCTCTCTCTCTCTCTCTCTCTCTCTCTCTCTCTCTCTCTCAAAATTAAATAAAACATTTAAGGGAAAAAAAGTAAAATGAACTTTGGAGTTAAGAAAATATGGTTTCAAATCCCAGCTTTAACATTTGCTATTTATGTGGCTTTAACCCATCAAGCCTCAGTTTTATCATCTGCAAAATGGGTATATGCATACTCTCCTCATGACCTAGACCCTACTGGCCAATGAATAAATGGCAGCTGCTATTATTATTGTTACTTCTGTTATGATCACTTTTGATCCATCTGGCATGACTGAAGAAAGACGTGCACAAATGCACTTGGAGGCCACCTGACTGTCTCCATAGGACCAGAAGCAGGGGGTGTCTGAAAACAACAGCAACAACAAACAAAGCAAAAGCAAAAACAAAACAAAGACAAACAAACAACAAAACACACACACATGTAAAAAAAACAAGTTTAGGCGCTAATATTGGCTCTCCAGGATTACTTTCTTGGTTTCCTCACTTGGATTAGAACATTAAATCCTAAACCTGCCTGATCCAGAATCACCAGTGGGAATTGAAACACACACACACACACACACACACACACACACACTCACACACACATTTCTGGACCTAATCCATGAAGATTTTACTTTGACTCACCTGGGTTGAGACTCCAAAGTATTCATGTGTGTTGAATTCCCTAGATGTACATAATCATCAGTCAAGTGTAGACCACTGGAATAGACGACTTCCAAGGGCAAGCCCCTAGCTTTTTGAGTTACTATTGGGTTGTTGAGCTTGTTTTAAAGAACTATTTCCATGCTGACGGCATTTCCTTCTCTAGTAGAGGTCCCCATCTTTATCAGCCTCTAGGGAGAAGTGGCACTCAGGAGTTCTGAAACTCCTTTAGAAGTTGTTGAAGAACATAAAAAGCAGATGAGCGGAGAGGAACTTAGAGGCTAGTGCTTTAATTACAGTTGCACGAATCCCATGGAAGAGAATTTGCTAAAACCATAGGAACTTTCCTCTTCATATTTTAAGCTTGTGGCTCAGTTCCCTGCAAGATCTCACTGGAAGGACCACCTTGGTTTCAGTGGGGAATGATGCCATTGATGAATCACCATGTGCTTTCCAGGCATTCGCTTGTCCTGCAACTGTGTCTGGAAAGGGCACAGAGAGGTGGGCTCAGGGGTGAGCGGGAGGAATGGTGAGCTGGCAGGCATTGAGGCTATGGTGGGGGTCAGACCCTGGGGTGCAACGACGCAGATGAGGAAGTGGGGGATGTGGGATTGTTATTGACTTCACTCTGCTAAAAAACCCTACCGTCTAGGATATCCTGTTTACATTCAAGGGAGGAGATAGACTGCCTACGGACAAAGAGAATCCTGGAGCTAGGAATGCGCTGGAGGGTATAAACATTGCATTACTTTTCAGGAAAAAGAATATGCTCCAAGGCAGACTTTATAAATATTATGCAGCCGCCCTCCTCTCAAATGTTCCCTGTGGGCAACCCACCATGTCTAGAGTTAGGCTCACACAGATTAAGGTTAGCAATTCTTCCGGGAAGCCTGTTTTCATCACAGAACCATCAGAGAATCAGAAAGAAAACAGGAAATTTTAGGCATCGCTGTGGTATCATGACAGCCTGTGACTCTGCGTCGGGTTTTAAAAGCCTTTTTGCTCTGCTTGTAAATACATTTTTTATAAGGAGGAAATATACCTTAAGATGCAGTCTTAATTTTGAGAGATACACAAAGACTTTTTTCACAGTTTGAGTTAATTACAGCAAGTTGCAGGACGGATGCCAAAATGAAATACTTCTCAACAAGGCTGTTGAGTAAAACCCAACTTCTTCTTATTTGTTTGATTGTTTGTTTGCCTATTTTCTTCCAAGATTTTGTGTAAATTCAAATTAGTTACATGTAGTGTAGCATTGGTTTTAGGAGTAGAATTTAATGAGTGATTCTAAAATCAACCTTCCAAGGCATAGTTTATAACTATCAGTTTACAAATATTACAGCTTTCTGTAATAAAAACTTATTTACTGGAGTTTCCCACAATGAACTTAACTCATTTTTAGTCCTTCACATCAATATTCCTTGGAGAGTTTTAAACAAATCTGGCAATATTATGGGAAAAATTTTTGCCCTTTTAGAAAACATAGAATTGATTTTTTTGGCAAAATATACATCATGCAAAATATACATCAGATTTGACTTAAATTTTCAAGTAATACTTTTGCAAGTATTCTCTAACCTTTTCCTTCTTTGACTGACAAGATCAAATAAGCCACAATTTGTCTTCTCAACGCATCTGTGTAAAAATTTCTCCTAATCTTTGAAGGTTCATCATTAGCTATGAAACTCGCCCTTGGCTTCTGCTCCTCTTATGTATTTCAGCCAAGAATGAGCCAAAGATTCGGGCAGTGATGGGGAGGTGAATGTGTGACTCTCTTAGAGGGTCACAATTTTAATAAGAGCTAATTGGGCACATGTTTATTATGGGGTGAGCTCCATGCCAGATGGAGTCAAGCCATGAGAAGTGAAAGAAATAGTTCCTGCCCTTGAGAAGCTTACAACTAGTGAACCAGACATGATGTAATACAGGAAATTATGAAAGGACATTCCAGTATATACATTGTCTGGCTTGCTGGTGGGTGGGTATGTGTTGGATCAAATGCATCTAGGATGCCAGACACAGAAACAGCCTGGAGGCCATTTGGAAGGGCGATGAAGAGCTGGAGATATCTCTGATTTTACGTTCTCCTGGGCAAATTTTACTTTTGTTGAGTACCCATCATGTTCAGGACACCAGAGGTACACAGTGAGAACTAAGAGCCCATGCTATGTGCGTAGGCTAAGGGCAAAGGGAATTAACAGGATGACTCTTCCTGGAGGCCTTCAAGCCATGCGTAGTTCAGATCTCAAAATATACACATGTCAGTTGAATGGTGTTGGAAACACCCTGACTCATTTCTCTGAGTCAGGACCGTGGCTTTATTGTCTGGATGTTGCCAAGGCCCCCTGCTAGATCTCCCTGCTTCTGTTCTAGACAAGTCCTGAGCTTAGCCTGTGAATCTCTCAAATGGCCAGAGGCCACTACACTTAGACCAGAAAGATCAGTTGCCTTCCTTCTTTAAATGGTAAAGTCATAGACAGGGAGCACCATGAAGGGGGCAAGGCTGATGTGCCAGCATCCACATAGTCCTGTAATTGCCTTTAAATGTGGAACTGTCCGCCATGCTCCCTCTCTGCCCGCCAACCCCCCCCCCCCCACCGCCGTGGTGAATTCTCACAGGTTCCTATGCTTTCCTTTCAGTTGCCTCAAGCAGAGTTGTGGCTGAAGAGTACACTGTTGATGTTGAGATCAGTTTTGAAAACGCCTCCTTCCTGGAGCCTATCAAAACTTACTTGAACAGCCTCAGTTTCCCAAGTCAAGGGAACAGCACTGACCAAGCCACCACCACCATTTTAAGCATTGAGGTGACCACAGGTGAGTCAAAGGCCCGTTGCTATAGAATGGAGGGTTGGGAATATCAGGAGAGAAGCTGTCCGAGCTCCTTACTGTCACAGCAAATTGCAATTCGTAGGCAAGTGACGTGACTCAAAAAGGCCTGATGTGTGATTTTATGACTTCACGGCCTTCCAGAATGCAGCCCCTCTTGGCAGACTCCATAGCCAGTTCTCCATAGCTCCCAAATGGGAGCCAAATGTTTGCTTGGTGGTTTGTGTATTGGTTGTCACAAAATGGTCCCAAGATACTTCCAGGTCCTTCACAACAGGCTACTTGGTCCCATCCATCTGGGTAGTCAGTGGGTACGGCAAGGGCTGGTTCAGGTATTAATAAGGAGCAAGTTCCCTTCATTTTGGGAGCATAGGTCAGGAAATGGGAACCAGGTACACACCTGGATTTGGAAGCAAGACATAATACAGAAACTCTAGGGCCGTGCGACGGGATTTTCTGATCGCTGCCTTCCTTTTGAGGTTATGCGAGCTGTCCTATTTCTCAGGCACCATCACCTGGGAAGCTATGATATGGGAGTCCCCCTTGTCCCAAACAAAGGTATTGCCTTGCAAACACTAACAGATTTGGGGTTTCATGATTCTAAAATGGAGGCAAGAATAAAATTCTTGTCTTTCAAGAATTTTTTGAATTATAGTTCAAATAGTTCATCAGCATCAGTCTATGCATTCCAATGTTTATTCCTTTGATTTTGAGAGAGAGAGAGAGAGAGAGCATGTGAATGGGAGAGAGAGGCAGAGAGGGAGAGAGAGAGAGTCTTAAGCAGGCTCCACACTCGGTGGAGCCACCCAGGTCACCAACTGAGCCACCAAGCACCCCAATCCAATTTTTTATTCTTAATATATGCTAGCTGAACCCGAAATGGCTGCTTCCTAGCTCCCTCTGGATGCCCTTCCCACCTATGCTGTAGCAAAGGACTGCATCAGTGTCCACAGATTCACTAGAGCTTGGGTGCCTCTCCTATTTCAGGAGCAGTGATCTGATGACTTTCCTTTGGGTAGTCACTCTTAGAATAGACAGCTCCCCATGACATGATTTCAATCGAGTTTTAGAAATAAATTCAAAGCCCTCTGTTTTCAGAGCATTTTCCAATGTCCCCAGTGGGATTAGAAAGTATTTGGTTTGTTTACGTGTGACTAGAAATATAACAGGCACAATTTTATTTGTACTCTGTATTTGCTGTTTAACAAATTACCCCAAAACTTAGCATCCTAAAACAACAAACATTTATCATACCATACAGCTTCTGAGGGCTAAGAATTCAGAAGGAGCTTAGCTGGGTGACCCTGGCTCAGGGTCTCTTATGAGGGCGCAGTCAAGCTTCGGGCAGAGTAGCAGTTCTCCGAAGGCTCCACTGCAGCTAGAAAATCCTCTCTGAAGCCCACTCACATGGTTGTTGGCAGGACTCAGCTCCTCACTAGCTGTTGACTGGAGACTTGCTTCTCACCATGTTGGCCTCTCCATGACATGTCCTCATGCAATGGCAGCTGGCTTCCCCCCGGAGCTAGTGGTGAGGGACAGACATCACTGAAGGAAGCCACAGCGTCTTATATCCTAATCTCAGGAGTGATATATCATCACTTCTGCCATATTCTGTTGGTCACACAGACTAAGTCTAGGGCAACATGAGAGTGAGTGACAAAACGGTGTTAATAGTCAGAAACAGGGGTGGTCAGGGGCTGCCTTGGAAGCTGGCTACCATACACTTTGTGCCCAGAAATCTGTCTATCCCATTATTATTGTAGGCATCCGCTGTAACAGTCAGAGCAGTCATCCTTCAGACGGCCATACCTAATAGCATGGTGATGTGTATGGGAATCACAGGAATCTCACGTAGTACTGTTGAACTTCCCAAAGGGCAATGTGGAGTCAAGTTAGAATTTTCTACAGAGTACAAATACTTACAGTCTATACATGTAAAGGTGGCGAGCACCTTCTCTCTCCTCACTGTTCTGGTTGTTGATAGTCTGCAGACCTACCGGAAATGAAATCTGGTGCTCGTGTGAGACAGGCTATAGGTGGCCTCAAGAAAGGTGTCTCCACAATCTCACTTGTCAAGAGCATGATGGCTTCCCTGCAGGGCATCGTTGCAGTTGCCTTAAAGGACTACCTCCCAAGGGACCTTTTTGCCAGCTCCAGGGAGGTAAGTAACTGTTGATTAAGTGTTTGTTTGTTTGTTTGTTTGTTGACTGACCGATATCAACTCAGGCAAATGTTTCTCGGTCCTGTGTGTATTCGAACGCTAACATGAGATTTTGAAATACTGCCCTGTGATTCTTTCAGCAGATGTTACCCTAAGAATGTCAGTCCGACTCAATGTGGGCTTTCAACAAGACCTCAAGAACTCTTCCTCTGCTCTCTATAGGTCCTACAAGACTGACTTGGAAACAGCGGTAGGTTTTGACCCCAAGAACATCTTAGCCAACAAGTTCTTTGGGCTGGTCTGAATCTGTTGCATTCACCAAGGATAAATTCTGTCAGAGTTTATGAATATGGGCATCAAAAATATTCCTAGATATCTGGGATGATGAATTATGGAGTGTTCAAATCCAACAGTGCGCAGGGGATGATTTTACGTCATCTCGACCTATAGGTGGAACTTCCTCCCAGGGTAGAATTGATTCAGAGAAGACTTGGTGTCATCAACCCACTGAATCCAATTCAGGTCTAGAAGCACCTGGTGGCGCATTTCTATTTGTCTTCCCACACTTCACGGATGAAGCCCTAACGTCTTTTGGGTAGATCAGCCCAAGGCTGGCACCGTGGTTTCAAATCATTCCACATTAAAGGTCATGAGGCATTCTCACTTAAGACAGATTTCGATTTACTCATATAAAAATAGAGAATATTCCCGGGGTATTAACTGAGTGCCAGACATTACTCTAAGTGATGTACACTGGATTAATTCATCTGAATCTAAAGGCTTTGCTTGAGTGAACTCATTTGTGATAGAGCGTCCCAGTTGGTGTGGTACAAATTATTACAGGGGGGCTGAGATAATGACTTCCCTTAACTCTCTGGGCAGCCAAGCCCCTGCCTCAGGCCAGGAGCAGCCTCAGCTTACCCTTGGAAACCACATGAATGAGGTTTCGTTTTCTGTGGGTGCCATGCTGAAGCGCCGAAGGGCTCTTGGACATCCGATGTGCATATCTGGCATCTGATAGCGCTACACAGCGTGAGAACCTTCCGCACATGCTGCGCCCTCAATTATATGCTTTTGAGGGAAGAGAGAGTTGCATATTCATCTTTGGATCCTACCAACCCAGCTTCCTGGCACAGTGCTCTGCACCCACAGTGCTTTGCATGTTGCATCTACTCGTAAATGTGACTTGAATCAAAATGAATTCCCTGGGATGGGTGTTCAGAGAAACCTCCCCATTTTCTCTGCCAGGCATTTCCCTGAGCGAAATTTTTGGCACATTAAATCTGGTGTTTGTTTGCTTCTTGGAGAACCCAGGCTGACATAGGTCAAGAGGAATTACTTCTTCAAAGTTCTGTCAGCATTAGCCTTAACAAAATATACAGCAGAAAGTTTTACCTGGTGATAAGAAAAAAGATGTGCTTTTTACTCTGCTTTCAACCTTTTGACTTATCTCTCACTGGACCTTGATACATGACACTTGTCTTTCTTTGTTTTCCAGTTCTGGAAAGGTTACAGTATTTTACCAGGCTTCAAATTGGTGACTGTGACAGGTTTCAGGTAAGAAACTGTAATCGGGTCATTCCTGCCCAACGGCAGAGACCACTACGTTAGTGAAGAAGAAACAACCCATTAGAGGGGCACCATCTAGAGCAGTTTGGTAGAGGTGGAGACAATGCTCGATTGGTAGGGCGCAAAGAGGGAGGCAATACTGAGAACGGAAACTCACTCCTCACAGATATACCTGCTTAAATGGAAAATGAGCCCAAGACTTGTGTTTATTCTGTGCCTGCAGGGGTTTTGCAAACAGATAAGGGATAAGTCCACAGACTAGGGAGTTCCAAAATATAAAAGTGAAAGAATGTCACGCATGATGCCTTTATTCAAGAAAAGTTGTCCAGCCAGCCACGGGCACAGAGTTGCACGCTGCTATGTAAATGGCTCCGCCTGGAGTTGGGCTCCACGGCAGCCCTAAGGAGGTATGCACAGTGTTTCAAAAAGTTAGATGCCAATTTTAACAACAAAGAATGTTCACAGAAACATTCGCGATTCTGCTTCAGTTGACATTCAGCATATCTGGTAACCTCGGGCCAGCATGGCTGTGTGACAACAGTCTCTGCACTGTGGCTGTGACCCTATGACCAACTTGTGTGATTCACTTCACTCATTCCCGTCCAGCCGTTTTGCTCACTTATGTTACCTGTCTGCAGACATTTGAGTGTGCAAGCCTTTGTCGCAGGCTTTCAGCTAGAGCCTGAAACCGGGTTGATTTGAGTGAACCTTTGAAGATAAAAAGTACCCAGGCTGTGCTTGCCATTTTGTTTTCCCATGTAAATAAACCATAAGGATGTAGACTCTTCCAGGTCAGTTACTGCCTTACTGAACTGACTGGTCTCCATCCAGGCCCGGAAGTGTGGTTGTGACATACGAGGTCAAGACTACAACACCATCACCTGAATTGATGCGTAAAGCAAATGATCAAGTAATGCGGAACCTTAATCAGACCTACAAAATGGACTACAATTCCTTTCAAGTAGTTACTAGCAGTAAGTAGGACATCTCCACGTTTTTCCTATACATGGATTCTATTTAGCTATAGCAATGGTATTTATCGTTATGCTTAAAACCAGGAAATTACATTACAGTGTCCTCCATGGGGACAGGCTGTCTGGTTCCTGGCACAGAGGCTTCCCGTCTGAGGCACCGTTACAGATCCTGCCAACCAGGCTAATGTCACTGCAGTTGGGAAAGGGGTTGCAGTGGGGAGAGATTTTGCAGGAGTGTCCCAGAGCCAACCGGGTCGATGGAGGGCTTTGTTTTGTTTCGTTTCGTTTTTAGTCAGAAGTCTGGGGGCGCCTGGGTGGCTCAGTCGGTTGGGCGTCCCACTTCAGCTCAGGTCATGATCTCACGGTCTGTGAGTTCGAGCCCCGCGTCGGGCTCTGTGCTGACAGCTC